CACAGGTATAGAGCTTGGAAGTTGGAAAATTCGGACGGCGAAAATCTGTGTTTCAACAGCTGCTATTCTAAGATCTAAATAAAGAAGAAAAAATGCCAAATTGGAAGTTCCGAAAAAATTCATTGCTCTAATCGAACCTCGCTTTAACCGAATCTGCCTTTTTTTTCGCTCAAATCAAAACCATTTCAATCTCGCACAAATTGAGAAAAGTAAGGACTCCGAAAACTAGCTCTTTATATTTTTCAAATTCTATATCCGGTGATCTCTTGCGAAATGCAATCGGAGTTGTAAATAATGACTAAGTGAAGGTCGCTAAGTAATTTTATGTTATTTTTTGCTTTAAACGTTTGTGTGCAGAAATGAAAAATGCAAGCGCTACGATATTATGCTCCAACCCAATAGAAAACAAAACGTGTAGTTGTAATGAAATACATAGCACTCCGTAGTTATTCCATTGTAATTGTTTTTGTACTGTACGCCACACGAGGGGGTTTTTAAAATGGAAGCTATATTTACTGGCCTTACACGGACAGCGAACATTCGCTCCATTGACGTCAACTAACATAAAGCGTGAGCATCTGCTCCACATCGGTGGAATCTTCGACCACCTCCAGACTTCTGAAGACTAAGCGGTCTAAACGTAAGGCCACTAAAAAAGATCCCATTTCAGAAACCTCGTTTGGCATGCTGGCATGCAGTACAAAAACAAATACAGTATACTCGACATCAATGCACAGGTTTTAACTAATGAGGGCGTGGGAATCCTATTGCAGCTTCGAGTGGATGGACGGAAATCACCTTTTATGACATGAAATATTGTAATTTTCAAATATGTAGTATCTACTAACATAGGCTAAAAAGGGTAAGTATTAAGCGCTGATGAATCGTTTCTTGGGGTGAGTCAGCGTTCTACTTTCATTTAGAATCGTAGAGGCATTTCAAGTGTGATTTGGCCTACACAATGAATTGTGAGGCAGCCGATATAGAAGTACCAGTACCAGAACAAATTTAAATTAATGTTTCGGACTAAAGTTTTCACGGGATCGCTGAAACGGGAGTTAAGCCTCATTTCTATTGAAACCTCTGGTAGGACAAATGAGGATCACGCTCCGATTTTCGCTCCACTTTGGTCACAGCTTCATGCTAATTCAAATTTTGTTCAGTCCTGTATTAGAGCAGTTGCCGGCTTCCTGATATGTCGTCGTTGTTTAGAGTTCTTCACCTTAACGTAACTATTTTCTTCTCCACTGAACGGAAGCAGGGTCATAAGTTCGTTTGGTCGAGTCAGACGGTGGGAAGGGAGGGTCGCAGTTAGCGAAGTGGTGTATTGGTCCATTTAATTTTTAGAACGCATTAAAATAGGAGATCTCCTGGAAGACAAAAACATGCCGCAAATTGAGGTAATTTTCCGAAAAATTTCACATATTTTGGCTAATCAACAGTTTTCCGTGGTTCTCTTTTTTTTCGCCAGAAAATATCAATGATGGCCTCGAAAAGTTTTTCTTTTGAACATCTTGATTCTTTATGGCTTTGGGATGTAAAACAATAGAAAAAATAGCATATCAATCTTTGGAGGGCGTTGCTCATGTGAGAAAAAATAATGCACTAAAAATCGTTTCGGCGAACACTTTTGACCGCTACTGTATGTACCCCGAACTCCGCTGGACGGACTTTTACGTAGCACCGGGTTCACCGACATTGTTACCATCATCAGTCACCTGAGGGTGGGGTCATATATACGAAATCGGCCGATACTCATTTTATTGTTCATGGTGTGACTACAGGGAGCAAAGCTACAGTCACGCAAAATTTTCCTTTAAACTTTCTTGCCTTCTGAATTAAAAACAAAGTTTCAAGCTGAACCAAAAGGCACACATCTGTTCTGTCACGAATCCTGTTTTCAACTGCTTTCACTGCTATACATGAAAGGATAATTCCCACACCGACATCCCGTGAGACATTATTACTGGATTCATGCTGATTGTTTTCCGCACCAGTCACGAATTCCTAGTCGGCAAATGAATAAATAGTAGAAAAACAATTACAATAATATGACGAGTTCTTACCAAATAACTTAGATTAACAAAATTAGAGATATTCAAGCTTGGAAGTCATATGTTTATAGGAAAAATACACTACATACTGAAGATTTTGTAGCACCTTTTCACCCACAGACCAAATTTGAGCTCATTGGGTGTCATGACGTTGTTAGAGGCATCCCCCTCTCAGTTCTCCAAGTTTAACGCTCCATGAAACTACTGCGCACACCGATGGCACTGCCTCGAAACCTTCATTGAATCCTTGAAGGCACAGAACACGATGGCTGAAGAGCGAAGCGAATTTCGTGACGTCGTCAAGCTAGGCCAGAATGAGCCACGAATAGACAAACTTTCCACCCAATACTGCCACCACCCTCATAGGGTTAACGTAACCCCTTGAGCTCAACCCTTCACCTCAACTCCGTCTTGAAGACTGACTCCCCAATCTCATCTCCTTCCTACTGAAAACAATACAGGACTTGTCAGAAAATGTGCTCAGAGTGGGGACGGGTCCACGATGAAACAAGAGCTTAAAATTTTTGAAATTGTTCTGGAAAATTACCAGGATTGGGGTAAATTTACCAGGAGTGGGGCAAAAATTTCGAAACTATCATATTTTGAAAAATTTAGATAAAATTTATATAATTCCTCCTGAAAAATCCCTCCAGCATAGGATCACCCTGCTCCAGCGCTCACAATGACGTACTACCACCAACATGAGCTGACTCATGACGGTGTTTCTACTCAATTTAGATCAGAGAGTTCCTGAGCTTCATTGTTTCATAAGACTTTGTAGTTGATTAGAACGAAGCATAAAATAAAGCTTTTGGAAGAGCTTAGTTCCAATCAATTACAGAGAAGGTGTTTCCACTATTATATTTGAAGGCAGCGATCACGATGGCGAGGGTGATGCGGTTTTGATGATTATTGATTTTGCTCATTGAACGTCATTGATGAAAAGGTGTTAGGAGGTGGTCCAATCACACCCCCAGCTCTCTGGGAATCCAGTCCTTCAATGATTTTCTCTCCATCAAAACCACAAGCCATCACTGTCTTTAGGAAGCAAGCTCTTCAGAGAGCCTCCTGCAGTTTGATAGAAGAAATCAAATTTATCGGAAAATAGCTTTTGAATAATTTCGTTATACGATTTATCCGGAAACTACGGAGCCATGGTGACTAGATCATATTCAACAAAGCAAGGCGTGCCTGCGTGAATCAGGTGTTGACGTTTCCTGGCGTCCACTACTCAACAAATTGGATTACCATAACTACGTAATGCATGGTTAGAGGGTGTTGATTGCATGTTACTATTTTTATGTTGCATGACAGCCAAACAGGTGATTTTTAATTTCTCTTGTCGATCCCTGACGTCGGCGAGTGGGCATTGTGAAACGTAGAAAAAATTGCTTTTGACTTTCACCGTATAAAAGGCAGACACTTTCGAAAGCTGTCGCCTTATCAAGCGGAATGGTACGTTTGTTGAACTTATGATTCAGTGCTTGCAACAGGTCAGTTCTAAGCAAGCACAATAATCTCCTGTTCGAAACAGACAGATTGGACTTCTATTAGCAAATGTGATTGCGAAATACCTTTGAGCAATACCGTTAGGTAAGCAAACAAAGACTTACACCACTCGTCATCTGAGAACTGGTAGCGTAGAACTTCATTTGGTTCACCATTGGTCATGAATAGTTCATACTCGACATGAAGCCCGGAAGTTTTGTTCTCAAAGTTCTCGTCTTCACAGGCCGACAAAGCAAGAAACCACCATCGAGATCGCATTGACCTTAACCATACGAATATTTCTTATATTTTTCAAAGGTTATCTACTATTTGAGGCGTATTCCACATTGACCTTTGGGTGGTTACCGAGCTGGAAATGAAAGTACTGTTGCGAAAATACAAATTTAAATTGTGTTGATAATTGCGAATTAAATTTAAATTGCGAATTTTGTATTGGCAGAGAAAAGAGCTGGAAGAAATCGCTGGAAATGATGAGAATAAACCTCCTGTTCATTAACCGTAACAAATTCTTCAACAGCTTGACAAGCACATCTTCGATATGAGAGAGCGCAAGGACTAGGGAGACGCAGACATCAACTCCGTCGCCAGAGTGGGTGTGCACAGATGTGACCCTAGCGATTTTCCCATGCTTTTTCTATGGCAAAAATGACCTCACCCCTGCTGTTCAACTCATTCGCAGGAGAAATAGCCCCAATAAATCATCGCAAATGTATCTACCATTATTAAGCCCTATATAAAAAGTGCATATGACCCATAGGTTAGTGAGTTATGTATTTTGCACGGGGGAGCCCCGTGAACAGATTTTTTTCTCCAAAAGTCACATGGAGTATCTGCGGACTTGTAAATGGTGGTCATTCTCTTCTGAACCCTATCGCCCCCCATGGCAGATTTATGGCAAGCTTTATTTTTAATGCAAATGCAAGGCGTATTCAGCGGCTTCCTGATGATTTCAGGCCATCTTCTCAGCCTTCATCAAGACTACCTTTCCCACGTGAACTCTTGTTCACGTCTCCAATAAACAGAATAAATAAAAAATCACCCTTATTTATGAAATGGGACATTACAAGGCATATTTGGGATTCTGTAGTCAAAAAGGACGCCAACGTCAGCAAAACAGGAAGAAGCCATATAAATAGATATTAAATGACTGACATAGCAGGCTTCGATTAGCTTAATGTGTTTTCACTTTCTGGCTCTACTGTAATATTCCAGGAAAAGCAGAAATTTGATCTTGAGAACCAGCGTAAGCCGAAACCTGAGTGACATAAGGAACGGAGATAAATAATGCAGCATTCAATAATATTTTCAGATTTTGGCATGAGAAATAATTTGGAGGTTACAAAATAAAGACGATTTTAGAGAAGAAGACAGTTTTAATCGCAGGACCTGTGGGATATAGAATGATTTACTTACTGGAATGTTCTGGTCCCTCTGCAATTAACCCAATCTGTACCAAACACGTCGGTTATCAGACGACATCGAGCACCAAAGGAGTTCAATGAGCGGTCGTAAGGATCCAAACGTATCTGTAAAGTGTTTCCATGAAAGAGTCGGTGAAAAAATTGCTCTAGAAAGCTCATGTGGTTTAAACCTGCAAAAGGCTCACCACCGCCGGATCTAGTGAGTGATTCGTTAAAACATCTCGCCGATCTTCGCACGTCTGAAATTGGTTACCCGATTGACCTGGACTCTTGAAGGCATTGAGCTTGACACTTTTCTAACAATAAAAGGAGAAACAGCAAAAAAAGACGGACCTTGAGCTCCTTGTACGCCCTTATCCATTGATCTTTTGAGTCGTAATACAGCAGTAAGCTTGGCACGGCGAAATTCTGGAAATGAAAGGAAGAATAGTGTAAAAAAAATTGTGAGACAGATGCCGACGTTTGATTGGGGTGGCGGGGCGTGTGAAGTTCGGCTCTGATTGGCATATCCCAATTCGAAATCCACCAATCAGAAAAAATCGCATACACTGCGTTTGTCCAATCGAACGTCTCTGAGCAGTAAGCTATTTTACAGTGATTATAGAAGAGAGTGTAACAAACTGACGGCTGGGTATGTTAATGAATAGTCCAAGTGTCCAGTGGCCGACTGAAAGCAGAATCGGTCCAAATATGAGAAATCCTGAAAATATCAGCGCGTGAGGTCAACTCAAAGTAAGCTGTTACGGAAAGGGCCTGATGTTTCCAAAATCACAGGATCAAATTACTCAATAGGATTGCAGTAAGGAATTATGGACTTTTTTGAATTAGACTAGTGGTAAGGTGTATGTTACGGGATCAGCTCAGTTCAGATTTTATTTCACAATTTCTTTTTGTTTTTGGATTTTTAGTGAAGTTCATAAACATTGCAAATAACAAAAAATAATATGCAAAAATAAAAAAATGCCATAAAAAAAATATGCATAACAAATAGAAACGAGAATTGGTCGCAGGTTGCGTGCTTAGCCTCGTCAGAAACCCGTCAGAAACCTTCAACGCGTCCCGACCAAAATGGTAGTGTGCCGCAAGTAGCTCACGTTTAGGAGCTCACGGCACAGGGTGGGCCAATGAGGACCCACAGCGGTGTCTACCATAAGTGATAAATCCTCTCTTCATAAGCTTTAGAGTTAGGCGTATCAGCTGTCCGTTTTAGACCCTGTGCGTCCTGTACGCACAATCTATCATGAAAGTTCTATCATCTAACAATAACACGTTCCCCAGCTGCGACGATCGCTGATTTCGCAATCTCACCTTGAAAGGTTCACTCCAAAAGTCTGTAAGGACAGAACCCAGTAAATTCCGTCATCTTGCGTATGAAGATCTGTTTCGAAGCTAAGGTCAGTACTTCCGACTTACGAAACTGGTCACCTCTTATCAAACACGCTATCTACGACGATGTTTGCTAATTCCAACTGTCCAAAAACTGTGTTTTTGTGCAAAGCAGTGAAATGTGCTGGCCACACGTTCTCAAGAAATCCTACATAAACTTCAAAAGCTTACGATTTATAATTTCAAGAATAGCAGCTCTAGAATTTTCTTATTACACTAGCGATGCTTCAATGACGGAAAGGTGATGTGTTTAATTTTTTTGGTAAGGAAAATGTTCTAGCTTTATTTATTATGAAAAAGCTCGTTGATGAATTTGTCATGCGGAATATGTGTGATGCGAATTTCCAATTTTCCATGTAGGTGGGGGTTTTTGAACGAAAAGTGACCTAACTCGGCTGTTAGCTACCAACTGCAACCAGTGTGCGCCATGCAGTTGGGAGAACTTCCAGCCAATAGGGCCCATTCGCCCCCCCCCCCTTTCAACATTCCGCGAAGTCTTCAGCCGGGTCCTTCACGCGCCTCCTAGGCTTCGAGCCTGACCTCTATTTCAAACCACTGCAGCCAAGACAGCAAAAATTTCGAAATTTCAGAAATTTCGTGAATCCGCTAGTTTCTGCTCAGCACTATCTCTCAGTTCCATGGGACAATGCTGTCCCATCCCTGACCACTGCCGAGCTATCCAACACCACCCCCTACTCCCTTCCCAAGGAATCCTAGACGATCGACGCGTCCACCGCAGTATTCCTGATAAAACCATCCACTTCATCGCACCCATTGTTAGTCATCATTCCTCTTACTGGGTGTTGCTAATTAGTTTTCCAGGTTCTGCACAGTAATTTTTATGCTTCACTGCTCTACTGTACCATTCGAACTATTTCTACTTTCCAAGAATTGCAGGAAACTTATGGAAACGTCAGTCAGGATTTTGGTCGAAAAGCACTAATTACTTTATGTGGTTGTATAATTATAACGTGCATAGCTGTAATAATGACAATAACGCTCCTTCGTTAATTCAGTGGCATGAAAAAAAACTGCAAAAAGCCCAGTTATTACGGCTGATTAGGGCGGTTTTCATTAAAATGAGCGAGTGACATCAGCTGCCATTTTTGGTGAGCTATGAAATCAATCGTTAAAGTTTATTTTTCAGCTGACAACGCGATTTGGCCTTCCTTGTGAGAAAACGAGACCTTCAAGTCAATTGCTGCACCTCGAGTGAATATAGACAAAGATGTGTAACTCAAGGCCAGCTTAAGGCTGGTGTCAGAGTCCGTGATTCGTAGAGAGCACGAATCGCGCGAATCGCGCGATGGATCGCGATCTCTGACATCAGCCTAAGGACTGCGAAGCTTGCAAACGAAAACAGGATCATTGAAAGAGGATCATAACCATCTTCGCCCATTACCGTTGAGCACGATAAAAATGACTTGGGATAATGTGAGCAGGAACCGGAAAACTTGTACAGAAAAAAAATGAATGAAATTATTGATTTCATTATGTACAGAAGCCGCAGGGATAATAGAAGATAAACAGAAGCGCCTAAGCTTCTATGAGGAAAAGCTATTGTTTTCTTTTTGCAAATTCTCTTCTAGGGTTCTCCATTTTTTGACAATGAATAGGCAAACTAAAGGTCTTAGGCACTACTTGTAACGAACGACCAAGCGTGAACTAGTAAAACAGACCTCTGAGGTACTAATGATCCCGAACGATCTCTTTGCTGAAACGACTGAGGCAATAAAGGCGGTTAGAATCGAAACAGTTCTATCTGAATTCGAATGAATTCCGATGATCATCGATGCTGTCGTCTTCGAGTGAAACGTCCTACGCCGTCGCCAAACATGTACTGACGCCTGCCGCGGTCGTCTGTGTGACCGCCGTCAGCGAGATGTTGAAGCACACGACCACGTTGCTATTGGTTACCAGTTGAAATCGTGATTCTTCGTAGCTCAACGTGACGAGTTGGCATAGCAGCTCGCCATCGCCTTCGATATAAAAAAAATGATGATAAAGGGGGTCAGGGATGCGCCGGGGATGGACCATACATGAGATCTTCAGCACTGAAGTGTGCGATTATACCCTTAGAATACTTCTTTACGGTTAAATTGTAGTTAGGAAGGAGAGGTTTTTCGGAGCAATAAGCTGCAGGCAATTACACAAAAAACACTCACACATGTCACAAGGAGATTCATTCACTCACCCGGAACTTCCTCCCCTTGCAAAATTAGGACTATTGTAGGCGGCACGAAATGATGACAGAAATGCCCCCTAGACTTAGGTATCCACATAGGAAATTTTTAAGCACCTTAATGCCATTATAATGTTGAAGTTACGACCTATACATTGAATGTAGTCGAAATCGAAGGCTTAGACTCGGTAAAGCCTCGAAATAGCTCAGAACCCTCGTCACCTCCGCACTTACACGGGAGGGTAAGTTACGGTCGTAGCGACCACGAACGCAACAATAAGTACTACCGTAATGACACGGTAACGGCGACCAAGCACTATGGTGACAAAAATGGTCGGAAACTACCAATAACCGCCGTAACTTTGCATATAAAGGGATAGTTCCCTTATTTTTGAATACTGTCTGTTTCACTTAGGCTGAAAGTGATGTACTGGCAAGTGCGGTCCACGGTCCAGTAGCAAGTATTGGGTAACACGCTGCACACGTCGATCAACCCGTATATCCCTCCAGGGTCAAACATTTGGCACTACACTTGTCTGTGCTGATAAAAAACTGGTCTGTACATCGGGCTGGAGTACCCGACAGGGGCCCGTCGCACGGCAAGAAGACCACGCAGCTCGTACAGTGCGATGTAACACGTACAATGGTACATTCCATCTAGTGTTCAAGTTCGACTTTGTATAAATCTGTGGCATTGTCCAGAGTAGGAGAGTGTAGTTGCTAAGCTTTCAACCAAGATTGGTAACTGGTAGATTACTTTTTTCAGGCTCTCAAGATTAGGGTCAACCCTACATTGTTACGAGTAAACGGGGGAGTCGTACCTGGTTGAGTTTGTAGGAGGGGGGGGGGTCGTACCCACTTTAGTCGCTCGAAATCACGTGTGGGATTGAGGTGAAACTAAGATTTCGCGTGTAGTAGGCTGGGCGAGTGGAGGGCGCGTAGGATAAAAATTTGCTGTTTCAGCGGGTGTATAACCCCCTTCCTAGAAAAGGAAGTGGGAGTATAGGTGAAAAATGGGTCGAAATGGTGGAAATAGAAGGAAATTTGTCGGATTTATTTACTGTTTCAGAGTGCTGCTACATATATCCGCTTTCGACGGCAGTGTGTGTGGAGGAAAAAGTGGGCGGGGTTTTGATGGGAAGATGGAGATGGATGGAAGGTAAGGGAAAAGGGGGTCGTATAAATCCCTTGGAGAAGGCGGGGGGGGGTTTCGTAAAAAATGTTTCGAAAAGTAACACAATGTAGGGAAGACGCTGCTCCAAAGCTTTGGTGAGGGCACCGAAACGGTCGGCCTAATAAAAGTTATTGGCCAATCTGGTTGAGAGCTCTTAGCGCGTACACTTTCACACATGTTAACTTAACTGACGCGAAATCGCTACAGTACCGAAGCGATTCGTCCGCTGACTCCTGCCTTCCTGCCGCGCGATCAGGCTTCCTATCGGGTACTCCCGCATGTTTGGTAGCCATGGGTGGGCCAAGAATGACACTGGAAAGTAATCTTCCTAATCTTACCACCACTACCCTCCCCGATCCCTACTATAGACGTGCAGACCATATTGTGCCCGGGTCAGCCGAGCCTTCCACCTTTTCGGGTCGACAATTGTATCATGCGGGAGAATACAAACACCGCCTTGAGCATATTTTGGTCACGCTGCTTACTGTACGGTCCAAATTGCACAAATGTCACTATGTTTTGCAGCGGAAGTCGAACGCGTAGGACACCTCAAAGGGATGAATCGACTGATTTGGCCTTTCCGTTTCCACTTGTACATTATTCAAACAACCACTGGAAATACCGATAATTTATTGAGAATCGAGCAAAACACACATTGGATAGCCAACAAGTGTGTCTTAGAGAGCAAAACATACTGAGTAAATCATCTAAACATTTGTTACAGCTAATTAATAGCATTCAAAAAAAAGAGGCAAATTCCATTTCAAACCCAGTGGAAAGAAATACTGGGCTACATAACGGGAGTAACGGGTCTACATGAAGTACGGAAGGAAATCGGAATAAAATGAATAGAATGCTTATAAGAAAAATGATAATGAAATGCGGATAAAAACAACATTCACACGCCCACATGCACACACAATATCTACAGCTCTAAATCTTAACTAATTCACAGGTAACGAACAACAATAAAGTTGCACGGCATATTCCAATCGATTACCATCATTCTCATTATGTCAGTGACACCATCACAAAACAAACGACCAAAATCGCATTTGTGGGAGGAGGAGGAAGGCGACAACATAAATCGAGCGTCCTCCTCAAAGGCGTGGAGGAGTACACATGAGAAATGGACGGTGCGAGATGCCGGGAGCCATTGCCTGGATTTGCCGTTGGCATACGCGGCTTTGAGCGAGGCACGACGGCCGGTACAACGCACCGAATACTGCTTAGAACGACTAAAAATTGAAGAAAAAAAAACAAACAAAAATCATAGTCACATGCATCATGATGACTACACCCACACAAATGCGCACACACAAACAGCACAGAGTTTGGTTCAAAGTACGGCTCTCAAGTAAAAATGCACTTGTAGCCTAGTGAACAAAGGCATAACCAGTTACTGATCATCACATTCTATTATAAAAAAAACAAACAACATTATTGCACATAAAATAGCCTAGGGATAGTAAAGCCAGAAGCAGGAGATACATTGAATAGAATAAGCCAGAGGAGGAGTTCAACAACATCACCTCATGAGGAGACCAGAATATGAAGGCTACGGTTTCGAAAAAAAAATAACACAGAAAGGAAGAAAAGATAAATGCAAAACAACATTTGATAATGCGAGGACTCAACGGTGATCAACGACACATCCACAACAAAACGCTAATATGGCCATCAGCAAGCAGGACGACTGTTTTCAAATTCGCCATCAGATTCACCGTCAGAAAATCCGAAGATCTCACTGCTGATATCGCAGTTCTCCTGCGATGCTACACTGCCAGCGGAATCGAATTCGTTCTCCGAAAGAATCCCCTCATTGGTCACAGATGTATGGCTACGAAAGGCACGATCACGTGGCTGAAATCGTACAGATTTTGTGTCACTGGACAATGAGACGCGATTTCAGAAAACTGGTTATATATTTCAATTCACCTCCTCAGGTCTGTTCACCTCAGATCAATACACCTCTGGTCTCCTACTCCTAACAAGTCCAAAGAAAAAGTTAGGCTTGACTAAAAAACATAGAACTTGGAAAATTTTTAGGGGAGGGGAGGGGGGGAACAATCAAAGGAGTAGTTCGACTTCCGTTGCGCACGCGCCCTTAGACGGGAGCCAAACTGAAGAATACCCTCCCTTCGTGCTCTCCCTGCTCTGAAGCCTAAGCCTGAACGAACCCTAGGTACAAGTATAAGCTAATGTGAAAGCATAAGCATGAGTTTCGGCGCAAGCCCAAGCCTTACCTTGAGCTTCAATTATCGCGCAGCTCTGGTGACCTGACCTACGAAGAGAACTGAACGTCTTCCTCCACGGGACTCTCTCCTTCCCGTATCTATCACCCCCTCCCCTGTGGTCGCAAGCGAATGACTATCACCCCCTCCCCTGTGGTCGCAAGCGAATGACGTAATTACCCTAGTTGTGAAAAACCTGGCAGCTATAATAGATTGAACTGGGGAGAAAATCATCAAAGCTAGACGTTATCGTTTACTCTAATTTCTCTTCAGAGTCTCCGAGCATCGCCATGAGGGCACAGAACCAGACGTGATAATTTCCGCTTGAATCAAAACAAGCCTAACTTGACACAGTTACGTTGATTATGGCATAATTTATTTCACTCAATTCCCGACCAAACTCGCAAGAAAGCTTCTCGCGTGAAGAGCGTACCCGTTTGCACCCCCATCCCTACCCCGTAGAGCTCCTTCTGCACCTCTTCCCTTCCCAATACCAATATTAATGTAAGAACTATGCTCATGTACGTACTTGCAAAGGCTTCGTGAAGTTCTCATAAACATTGTTTATTCGATCCTGCCAATATTTGAGTTCATCATCTTTTCCAGCTGTGTCCACATCAATCCATGCCGGCAAGTCACGTTCGAGCCTTCTTTTGGAGCGAGAAAACGCCGTATACAGATCTAAACAAAAACAACAATATTATGTAAGAAACAAAATAGGACTAGCCATACTCTTTTTATACAGGAACCAGTTTAGTCACAGTCAGTAACGACCAGTAGCCGCCAGCGGTAAATTACCCAATAAACATGATTTACTAGAAGCCATCTGTAAATGGTAACGAACTATTCGGATGCACGCGTTCGTTTCCGCTCCGACGGTGCCTTCCTGGAACCAGATCCTCGTAATTGCGTATCGGCTCATCTTCCATAACTAGAAAAACTTATACTAGACAAGAATTTTATACTGCATACACAATCTACAATAATATAATAATAAACAAATAGATAAATATGAAGTCATTCTCGAAGGTAACGGACTCGTGTTTCAAGTAACACAGTCTCAGCCATGTAAAGGTGTTGTGGACATACGGAAGCGTAGCTTTCAAAAGATCAAAAAAATATGATAACATAATCGAACTCTAGCTTTCACATCTATAAAAACTGGATTTAATGAACGAGAAGCTCTAATTCGCCTAAGCAATCCAGAGAGTACAGCTTTATTCCCTTACTTTCTCAAAAACTTACTCGGCGAAGATAACTTCTCGTATGTCATCAGGCTGTAGCGACGATCATTTTTAGCGATTTCATTTGCCAATAAATGCATTTCCTCGTCGAAAAAGAACGTCGTGACTGAAATGTGTCACTGAGAAAGTAAATAGCAGAGCCTCGTAGAACAACATTGAACTACACTAGTGCGAATCTGGACAAATTTGTTATCTTCACAAGAATTACTGATAACCTATTGAAGAAGCCCCTCGTTTTCTCGGACTCACATTCACGGTCGCAGCAGTTCTCCTTTTCCAACTCTTCACTCTCTTCTTTGAAACCTTTATCTGATGTGCTAGACAATGACGACGAAGGAATCCTGAAATATGACATTCCGAGTATCCAGAAGCCAATTTGAAGAGTTCTTCATCACTCGCTTAACATTAGATATCGAACGTCAACATTTTGCAAGGAATTTCTCATATGACGCCGGCTTCTCCACCGAGAGGGACCACATTATTTAGTATTCGCCTTTGTTTGTGAATTCATTTTGCTTGTGAAGGAATATACTCCTTTGAACTCAATTTTTCTGCAGATTTCTCACGTCTATAGTAAGACGAGATGTATGAAAAGTAATGGTAGCTATTAGTTAGTCGATATTTTGAAGAATGGCTGCGATGACTTGAAGCCGGCAACGTATCGAAACGAACCTTCTACGTGCCCTGACAGAAAACGACTTCTTTTCATTCGCTTTGATCATCGCGCCCAGACTATAACGCCTGAAATTGAAAACAATTTTTGTGGCCCGCCGGCGTCGTCGTCTCCACACATAAGCATTCCCATAAGCACTCCACACCACGAAGCGGGGAAAATTGGGGTGGGGACAGCGAGAGAGAAGGGGAGGGAGGGATGGGGAAGCAACAGCACAACGACAACAGTGACGGGCAGCAGAAGAGCGTGAACGGGTATGAAGGAGATAGAATGAGTTCTCTAATGAGCGCCATCCCGCACATATTCGTTGCTCAATATCACCTGTGGTATTGAAGCACGACATGTACAGGACAGCACTAATAGCATTGTCCGAGGGTATGGGACGTGTGAAAAGGATGATGATAATGATGTCGATGATTAGGGAAACATGTTCGATAACGGGAGCAGAAGGCGATGGGGATGGTGGCGTTTATGGTGATGATGGTTGTGACACACAAATAAAACCCAATCGTGCTGTAATATGAGGAGACATCGAGGAAGTAAGCATGGCCTGAGGCTTGCCGAGACCGACTGAATACACCTCATCTTACATGAAAACGAAGCCGCAGTTCAACTTACCTAGGATCCCTGACAGTACCGACGTAAAACCCGTTGGAAGACGAACCGCTAATAGGAACAGGAAGAGAACGCTGAAAACAAATACACTATAATATTAGAATATCAACTATCGACGAAACCCAGTGCTTGAGTGGTAATACTTGGACAACTCTGCGTCTTCAAAACCTTCACCCAAAATTCCCTAGTGAGTACCCAATGACAAATGGGCGCTAAAAGGTCGGTGCTGTTTGAGCTCACGACGGCAGTGACGGGTTTGGAGTGGCAACGGGGTAGACGGAGTAGAGAAAGCTACGACCACGGGACGTCTAAAACCGTAAGCGATACCCCGACGAGCCGCTCGCAAAGCACAATGAACTTGCTCTCCGGTTACACCACACGCATACACACACGCACACATACACACATCGAGACAGACGCTCGCCTCGCTTATGTTTTCTCAGCCAGATCAACGTCGTCGCTAACCTGATCCGTTTCTGTGAGTGACGACCAAGACTGTCCATAACTTTCTTTACCTTCACGCACAGAAGTAGTGCGCTGCTAGTTAGTAGGTCTAGATATGGTCCTACGGCCAAATTGCGTATTTTTCGAGTCTATCCGAAGGAATACACGCCTTTCTACCTGATCATTGAAAACTATACATCGGACGTTATTGGAAATCCGTTTTGATGGTGAATTTCAGTATCTGTAACATTTCCAACGAAGAATGCGGCAAAAGGTTATGAATGGTGCGGTCGTATTCGTTCGTTCATTTATAGGAATCAGATGGTTCAAGTCCTTTCGCTAAACATCCACTACTTCCTATTTTTTCAAGCTTTGTTTTTCATTGCTAGCGCATTTTATGACAGCACACATGGAAACTACATGCATCAATGGCCCGCATTCGCTCGCCGATTCACACGCTTCGAATTTCCCGAAAACGGCAGTTTAATAGAGTTTCAAGCATAAACAGCTTCATACACGAAAGCGCTCAACTCTTGAAATATGAAAAAGTGCATAAGTTACTAATAATTTTGTACAGATTACAGGTGTGTAGGTGGAAAGAGCATTTGAGATCTCACTGAATGTTGTGATAGGCATGTGAACAGGGTCAACCGTGCGTTCGCACTATTCGAACGAGGGGGTCGCATTCAGGGGAGGGGTTGAGTGAGAAGAGTGGGATCAGTAGTTTTTTGAGGGAATGGCGAGGCGATTTAGATTGGTTTTTTGTTGAGGATTTAAGCGGCCTCAGGTAGGAGTAGGGAGTAGTGGAAGTAGAGAAAAGTTATCGTTTCATTGCATTAATATACCACCCGCTCGACGGTTGTTTTGAAGGGAAAAGGGGAGGAGTTAGGCTGTGTCGACTATTTCAGAATCAAATACTATAGAAACAGCTGTGGTGGCGAGGGAGGTGGTCGGCACAGGGAGAAGGATGGTCGTATTGGGGAGTCCTGAGTCTTACGTGGGTGATGAGGGGTCGCACCGAGACCCGTTAAAGGAGGGTGGTCGCGAAATTTTTGAAAAAGTGCGAACGCTACGGTCCTGCTTGTGAATGAGTAGCGCCAACGATGAACGCATGGCTTGCTATGTAAATGTAAATTACATGTTGAATCAGACTGATCAGATAACAGAGTTCAACCCCATAATAACCGTTAGTGAATGTTTTCGCAATAAAACATGTTTTTCAACACAATACCGTACTCCACATACCAATGAATCTAAATTTTCTTCACTGTTCAAAAACCAGAGGCATGAGAAGCTCGCATGAGTCAGACATGTTCGCTGAGAAAAAAAAAACACGCGCCCTTTTCCCTGTAAGTATTGTTGCGATGCGTTAGAGCGATGTCCCAAAAAATACAATCTGTTGTTCACGGCCATACAATGAAAAGCGAGCAGGCGCATCCGAATCGGTTCACTGAGCCAAATTTAACCCCAATTTTAAGCCGTATTTTGGCCACAGAAACTATACTGCTTACCTAAATCCAGTTTCAATCAAACTTAGAAAGTTGAAAAAAATTGAATGATTCAGACCGAAAAAAAAGAATGTATTCAAAAATGAAAGCATATGTGTTCTACTGGACCTACCATTCTAACACGAGGCAGAGACAAAACCGAACCTTCGAACATTTCATCCACATGAAGATTTCCCTGTTTGCCTCAGTCTTTCTATATTGCATAGAACAATTTCGATTAAAAGGATTTCAAAATGGAACACTATTCTGACGGGGAATATACTGGCGTCATTTCAGCAATCAAAACCCTTATTGATGACGCTAGCGTGAAGTACGTATAAAATCGTCACCGAATCGCATTGTCCCCAGTATCCCCGCAATCTGATTCTCGCCGCGGGTAATGACATTTCGTATCGGAGGGAGGGGGGGGGGGCGGAGAGGGTTCACCACCGCCTCATGCGCATATTCATAGAAACACATTCATAAAAAGGTTTACAGTAGATTACAACCATCAATCAAGTTTAACACTCCACTGTTCACTTAGTTGAAAAGTCAACCCTGATGTGAAATTTTTGCAAAACGAATGGAGTTTTCTCGCTGCTGACGTTCCATTGAGCGCTGACGTCTCCGCGATTTGTTCATCTGTCACTTATGAGTTCTCAACCTTAACTACCAAAAATTGATCTGAACCAACCTGAGAAATCACCACTAAATGGCTAATCGCTGAGAACTTTGACAATACACACCGAGAATAGTGAAACTGCAGTTACTCAATGTTTGGAACCACATGAACTTAGATTTCTACACCTTAGAAAAGTTGCCATGGAGCGCCTCTCCACAAGAAACACTTTATGCGAAATACTTCCTCTCAAGAGCTTTACTTTCAAAAAGATCCCTCCTTTCAAGATGTTCAACGTTCACATTTTCGGAGTAATTTCGTTCCGTTTGTTCGCATTTCACGTCCAGGTCGTGCATATGTGTCGACATTTGCCCAATGGATTTTTTTTGCAGTCTCACGCCCAAAACTTAAAATCACACCGAACTCGATCACAGCTCAAACTAGTAAGATCGAAGAATGGAGCGGCCCCGGACAAACACTAGATTTAGAGCATTTTTTTCGGCAACCTAACCAGCGTAAATCTGGCAGCAACGGTGATTTCGCCTCGTACCCCTTCTTTTACCCACGAATAATTCTAATAATCTAGATGGCTCCAATTCCCTTCAATGCGTGTTATGGCCTACTCGTATATATCCCATTGGAATCGAATTGAGTTGCGCAAATTCCACAAAACATGTCCATTCCAGAGTACTGTCTCTGCTTTGCGGGGATGACGAGACGTATGGAATCCGCGCGAGTGTTGCGTCGGCACGAGAGCGTTTTGTTGCGAACGTGCTTTCAAAAGACATCTGTGTGTATATCTGCCCGTCCGTTTTTCTTTCTTCACTCTCACAATCAAACAGCACGTGCAAGATTTGTGAAAAGCGTAATTCGAGGTTAAATTTGCACAGACGTTTTCCTCAAAGCGCTGTGTTGGTTGGCGCCAAGAGTTTACTGATTTCCAATGTGACGGCTAGTAAAAACGTTGTGAGTGATTTCAGTTCAGTGATAGATCCATCGAAAACATATGAAAAAGCATGAAAATTCGCTACTGACAAAAAATCCGAGTTGGAAGGATGATTCAATCAACACCAGGAAAGCGATCGTCTCAACGCGGAGTAAGGGTAGGGGTCAGATTGGTGAAGGGAGGCAAACACTTCAGAAAAAACAAGAGCTGATCGTCGCTTGCTTTCGCACATTGCGCACTCCAATAACAACGAGGGGCGCGAACTCTCAGACGTCATATGATCCCGAATGTTGCCGTGTCGTTGACATTCACTCCTACATTCATTCACTTCAATCTGCAAAACGCAACAGCCATCAGCCGCGACAACTTCTACTCAAGCAGCGCCGACGATGATCGAAAAGCAGTCGAGGGGAAAATTCTGTTTCAGCCTATCGACGTAATAGAGGCAACCGGTGCCCTAAGAGGAGCGCCATATCAGATCGTGAGACGGCTGCTGGCACACACACATTCACATTCATGCTACACTTTGGTCTCGATCGAAAACTTCAAAAAACAACGTTGGATTTCAGATAAATTCATGACAAAACATTTCAGCGAGTAACGCTCTGAAAATTACCTGAAGGCTGCGGTTTCTAGTATTCAAATAGCCGGAAAGGATATTTTAGCTATTCAATTTGGACCAATATGTAGTGCATGCACACATTCGCTTAATAACAATAGCTGCCCCACGATTCTTACGGAAGCTTGCTCATTCACCTGACGATCTAGTCAGACATTAAACTCTTCCGGGACCGCGTCGAGGCCTCATTTTCCGATAGAGTTTTCGAGCCAAATCGCTCTGAGCCCTAATGGTAATGGGAACTGCAAAGTACCACAAATACCTCCAAATTATGCCTGACATTCCTGCAGATGGCACAGATCCTTGAACAGACAATAGC